ACCGCGGTGCCTGGTTTCCTTATTTCCTTGGCAAATCGGGAATGCGCGCGCCCGCTAGGCCCGCAGTCCAGGAAGTGGAAGGAGGCGGCGGGAAGGATGACTCACCTCTACGGCACGTCGGCGTCTCCTGCCCTGAGGCATGTCGGGAATTGTTGTCTTCTTAAACGTGTTTGCTTCCGGGCTGTGGAACTGTTAACTGTGGTTTCTGAAGCACGACAAAAGGGGGCGGTAGTGAGCCTCACTCTACGGAGGTATTGATGGAATGCTGGTTTTCCAGTTTCCTGGGCATCAGCTAGAGATCATTTTAAAAATTCACAGCTGCAGGGCCCAGGATTTAGTTCAGTGGGTCTGGCGACTGCCTCGCCAGTGCAAGGACCTGAGTTCAATCCCTGATTTAAAAAAAAAAAAAAATTCACATGTGCAGGCCTGAGATTTAGTTTAGTGGTCCCGCTGCGTTCCTTGCAAACGCAACATCCCGAGTCCTATCCCCAGTACCAAAAAACAAAACAAAAAATTCAGTAACATAAAAAGCGGAGAATGATTTCTTTCCATTTCCAGCTACTTTCACCAGGAATTTAGCTCAGTGGTTCTGCCGCCTTCCTCACAAGCCCAAGGTTCTGAGTTTGAACTCTGCTATACAAAACAAAAGAAATAATTTCACATGTGATTATAAGAAGAATGTCCTGTACTCAAGATATGGCACTTTGTGATTGACATTAAAAAATTGATCGAGCCGGAAGTGGTGTCGTAAGCCTTTAATCCCAGCACTCGGGAGGCTGAGGCAGGAGGATCGCTGTGAATTCGAGACTAGCCTGGGCTACAGAGTGAGTTCCAGGTCAGTCCCAACTACACAGTGAGACCCTGTCTCAAAAAACAAAACAAACAAACAAACAAAAAAAGAATTAATCCTTCATATCACTTTATTTTTATTTATTTATCTTTGGGTACCAGAGGTCAAAGTCAGGTCCTTGAGCTTGCAAGGCAGGCGTCAGAATCTCTGAGCTAAATCCCCGGCCCCTGCACATTGCTTTAATGGACTTCCTACAACTGAACCTACAAAATGCTACAATTTTTAGGGCTTTTCATCATAAAGAAATGATAAATGAGATGGATAGATTTAATCTGATTTAAACATTACACAACAAATAATATGCATTGAAACATTTATGGCACTCTGCTAATTTATACAATTATTATTTTTTTATGCACCAGTTAAAAATAAATTTAAATAAGCTGGGCATGGGGGCACCTGCCTGTAATCCCAGCACTCTTCTCGGTTGAGGCAGGAAGATCACAAGTCCAACCTAGCCTAGGCAACTTAGCAAAACCTCGTCTCAAAGGGACTTGGACATGTAGCTCAGGGCAAAAGCCCTGTTCAATCCTCAGTACTGAAAATAAAAAGTAGTAAAAAGTCAATCAACATAGAAATTCTTGGGCTGGGGATTTAGCTCAGTGGTGCAGCCACCTGCCTCACAAGCAAAAGATCCTGAGTCTGATCCCCCACACAAAAATAAATAAATAAATAAAATGAAAAGAAATTCTTCCAATAGAAATGTCTTTATCCCTAATGTTGGAATTAAATAGTCTAAGAATAGCTCTTCCTTTGCTCATTCATTCATTCATCGGAATCTATTATGGATTAGGCATTGTACTTGGCACTGATGAGGTAAGGCTCAAGCATGCTGTCTTTGTGGCTATACAGTCTTGTGAGGTGAGTACACAATGAGCAAGTGATTGTGAGCGATGTGATGATGAAGGCCACCAGAAGGGTCATTTGCAGTGTACCGAAGTGTGTGGTGAAGGGACCAAACTTGTTCTAAAGGTCAGATAGGGCCTTCATGAAAAAATGACATGGCAGCAGGGGAAATCTAGGTAGATGAAGAACGTTCCCGGCAGAGGAAGTAGGTCTGTTAAGGCTTCCTACCAAGCAAACACAGTGCAGTTGGCCTAGGGGGATGGCTCAGTGGCAGAATGCTACCTAGCATGTGTGAGGCCCCAGGTTCAGTTTGCAACACAACAAAGAAACAAAACCCACAGTACCCTTGAGAGCTGAAAAATTCCCATCGTGACTGGAACATCGGGGAGTGTGGTACAAATGAAATGGATAGGCAAGGATCAGATCATGCAAGGCCTTGGAAGTCACATTCAGAATATATTTTCTAAGAATTGTTCAAAGCTGTCGAAGAATTATAAACTATCAGAGGGAGATCAACCCTCCAACTGCCTAGAAAGGGAAATGGAGAGGGCCAAAGGAAAAAAGACGACAGAGACTTGCATAATTTCTGGGACATCAGTGCCTCAGAGCGGGCAAAGACAAAGACTGAGCTAGCCACTATTGGTGCACATGATAATTGGAGGGAGCATCAAGTGACTTAGGGGTGGTTGTGATCCTATGCTGATGTGGATCTTAGCCTAATGGAGATCATAGGTTATAGGGTTCTCATGTTGAGGACTGTAAGGAGGGCATTCTTAAAATAGGTAGGAGGTATTACTACTCACTTCTCCAATGAACCAGCTAATGCAGTCTTGCCTTTGAATGCCACAGCATCAGGGGACCATTGAGATCTTAGCTGTGACTGGGGGTAGAAATGGAGTTACGTCTGAACATCCCATAGCTGGCCTATAGGCAGGAAAACTAGGTCTAATCATAAATTTAATTGTGAAATGGTCTTTCCCCAAAATTATGTAGAATTGCTCCAGACAATAAACCAGAGTAACAGGTAAGTCTTTTGTTTTTATATGGCGGCATGGTAATCAAATAGCTTAGATTGGAAGTGCAATGGTGAAGAAACCAGTTAAGAGGCTATTGTCCCTGCATGACGGAGAAGTGGATACTTTGGATGCTTTGTGTTTTTTGGTACCAGGGATTGAACTCAGGTCCTTGTGCTTGCAAGGCAGGCCACCGAACTGCTGAGCTAAATCCCCGGCCCATGACCCTATAGGTTTTAATGATTGCTTAGATGTGGAGATTGAGGAAGGACTCAAGAAGGGACTTGGGTTTTGAGAAATAGTAATGGTGCTGAGACAGGGAACTGTAAAGGAACAGCAGTGTGGTGGGGAGGGATCTACTTGGAGTGCTAGTGACGTACTGATGTGGGAAAGTTAAGTAGGCAGATTAGCTATTAAGCTTGGAGCTCAGATCACAGTGTTTAGTGAGAGATAGGAACTTCAGATTTCTGTATCCACAGGGTGAAGCCCTGGAGGATTCTGCCACTTAAAAGAGATGGCGAAAAGTGAGCTGAGGTATGAATGTGACTCACAGCATTGTGTAAAACATTAACCAGGCCAGGAGATACAGAAGGATATGATGGGGATGGGGTGGAGGAAAATGGGAGTGCGTAAGCTACCCATAAAGCTCGAGGAACGAAGGGTTCTGAGAAGGGAACAAGAGGAAACTGGAATGCTGCTGCAGGGTCAGTGAAAGAGAAACTAAAAAACTTCCATCACTGAGGGTGGTAACACACATCTATAATCTTGCGATGGGATGCTTGTAATTCTTTTTTTTGGGGGGGTGGGTACCAGGGATCAAACTCAGGTCCTTGCATTTGCCAGGCAGGCGCCACAACCACTGAGCTAAATCCCCCACCCAGGATGCTTTTAATTCTTATGGGAAGAAAGCTCTTCCAGGAAAAATCCCTGAACCACCCCTTATCCTTGCTCATTCCTCATACGCTTGTTTTGTGACTTGTTTCCCCATTGGATCCCCATTTAATCAATATTACCTAAGCAACTATACTTGGCATAGTCTTATTGGTTGTTTATAGTTTTGTCCACCTCGTGATTTCTCACTGGATCAATATTACCTAAGTGGCTGTACTTGTAATCTTACTAGTTGACAACTACAGTTTTGTCCCACCTTGAACCTGCCTTACCTCACGACTTTGTCCCATTAAACACCTTTGAGAAGTTGGGTGAGTGGACAACCGACTTTCCAGTGCTCCTTTTGTCTCTTAGACAGAAACTTTTTTCCTCTCAATAAATTATTCACACTCTTAACCTCCGTTGTTCCTACAATTCATTCTTTGATTTAAGAGAACACAAATTCGTGTTTCAGGTAACTCACAGGTTTGGGAGTTACATCTCTTTCTCCTAAATCAATACCAAAGAGAGGTATAACTGGGTCAAATAGAGCCTCTAGTTTTAGTTTCTTGAAAAATTGCCACACTGATTCCACAGTGGTTGCACCAATCTGTACTCCCACCAATAGTGAAGAAGGGTTCTTTTCCCCTCCAGTGCCTCCAGCATTTGTTATTGGTTGACACCCCCACGCCCACCCCAGATTGAACTCAGGACCTTGTGCTTGCCAGGCAGGCACTGTGCCACTGAGCTACATCCCCAGCCAGCTGGTTGATTTCTTGATAGCAGTCATTCTTTCTGGAGTGAGATGGAAGCTCAGCATTGTTTTAATTTTCATTTCACAAATGACCGGTGATGTTGAACATTTTTTCATGTATTTGCCATTTCTAATTCTTTATCTGAGAAGTGACTTTTTATTTCAGATTCCCATTTTTGCATTGGGTCTTTAAATTTGAGTCAGATTTTTTTGAGTTTTTCATATATTCTAGATATTTTTCCTTTGTCTGATGAATAGCTGGTAAAAAATTTTTGCTGTGCAAAGCTTTTTCATAAGGTGAGGTGCTAGTTGTGGATTCTTTGTAGTATTTTCCATGTGGTCTGGGTTTTGGTTCATAAAGTCTTTGCCTATTCCTGTGTCCTCAAGCATTCTACCTATTCTCTCTTCCTGCAGATTTAGTGTTTCTGTTTTAATATTTAGATTTTTGATCCATTTTGATTTTAGATTAGTGCATGGTGAAAGATAGTGGTCTAGTTTCAATCTTCAGCATACGGAAAGCTAGTTTTTCCAGCACCATTTATGGAAGAGGCTATCTTTTTTTTCCAGTGAAGTTGTTTGGCTCCTTTGTCAAAGATTTTGTGACTTGAGTATGTCTGGAGTTGTTTCTGCATCTTCTAATCTGTTCCATTGATTCTCATGTCTGTTCTTTTGTCAGTACCATGCTATGCTGTTTTTAATCACTGTAACTTTGTAGTATAATTTCAGGTCAGGGATTGAGATGCCCCCTACCTTGCCCCTACCTTGTTGCCCAGAATTGCCCTTGCTATTGTAGTTCCCTTCTGGTTCC